TTATGAATAGGGGTGTTCAAAGGTTCGGTTTGGTTTTGGACCTTTTCCAAATCGAACCAAACATGCATATCTTAGACTTTTTTGGACATAATCGGTTTTTTCTCTTCAAAAAAATCGAACCAAACTGAATCGACCAAAGTCGGTTTGGTTTGGTTGACCTTGTAAGTTTGGTTCGGTTTTACACAGCCTCACCCCTGATTTTACATCTTGAGCAAGATGATGCAGGGGTGCTCACCGATCGTGCAGGTGTTATGAGGGGGAAACGCAACAAAACTAGAGAAGTAGGGGGAAAACGCAAACTAGAACAAGGAGGCAAACCAGAACAGAGAGGTAGTGCTCACTAATTGTGCAGGTGTTATAGAGGGGAAATGCAACAAAACTAGAGAAGCAAGGGGGAAACGCAAACCAAAACAGGGAGGCAAACTAGAACAGAGAGGTGAACAAGAGAGAAGTGAACAGGAGAGGCGAACCAGGCGAGCCAACAGAAAGGTGAACCAGACGAGCTACGTTGAGCCAACAAAGAGGTGAACTAGGCGAGCTGCATCGAGCCAACAGAGAAGTGAACCAAGTGACATGCGCCCAAATCCCAAATGCGCAGCCGAGATTCATTAGTCGAGCTATTCGGTTTGGTCGAGCTGTTCCGAGAGGAGCTGTTTGGAGAGGAGTTGTTCAGTTTGGTCAGTTTGGTCGAGCTGCTTACAGCCAAGATCCATTCGTCGAGTTGTTCGGAGAGGAGCTGTGGCTACATGTGCGACCGTGAGAGAGGGGCGCTAGGGAGAAAAGAGAGCTGATATAATATGTATATAAGAAGACAATTGGTTCGGTTTGATTTGATTTGTCTTTGGCACAAAACCGAAAACCAAACCAAACCGATTGGTCCAAGGGTTTTCAAAACCAAATTAAATCGATTCTTTTTGATTTTATTCGGTTTTTGGTCGGTTTGGATTGGTCCATTTGGTCTGGTTCAGTTTTGAACACCACTACTTATGAAGTGTCCAAGTTTGATCAAACCTGAAGAGTCTAGCCATCTCCCTACAGTGCTATGCATGTCCCTTTTAACATATTTTGAACTCTAATAATAATATATATACCCTTAATTATATCCATTTTGTCAAGTGGAATAACTCAAATTATTAAGAATGCAAAAAAAAAAATTACATTTTTAATAAAGAAAATAAATCAATTCACTGGGATAATTTATTTCTCACTTCAGTCTTTAATATGTTAGGCGTTAGTCGTTCACTTCTCCCATACTAATACATGACATGTAAAATTTGTACAGTACCTCTATGGCCAGAAGCTAGCGAATGATAACTCTTTGTGTTCAATTCTTTTTTTTTTTGTTTTGGTAGAAAATTTCTACATAATTAATAAAGTCAAAGCTTTTTTAAGTGAAATAATATGTAATATATATAAAAACATAATGCTTGAAGTAGGTTAACCAACTTTCAAAACAAGAAGTCCAAACTAAGTTAAATTTATATTTTTAATTTCAAAATCTCTAAAATTAGAAGCCGAATTACTTTTTTGAAATAATTGGTTTAGTTTAATTTTATAGTTTTATAAACTTTTAGCTGTTTAGTCTTACAGTTTATTTGTTTTTGCACAAATTGTTGTTGAAATTGTAAATAAATGAATTCAGTAATAATTATATTAATGGCAATTATTTTCTTCATGAACTAATGTTGGTTTAATGTGTCATGGTATTATACTACATCCCCGCTTACCTTTAAAAAAATGATAGTTGTTGCATAAATAATTTTCATATTTAAGTTTTGGTAACAATTTATATTTGAAATTTTTAGTTCAAAATATATTAGATATTTTGAAGTTTCTGATAATATTATTTAGTTACTTCAGTTTAAAGTAATATATGTAGGGCTGTCAATGGAGCAGATTTTAATTCGAATCCGATCTGAATTCGATTTGATTATTTATGATCTTTAACCGATAAAAAATTCAATCAACATAATCTGATTAAAAAAATTCATAATTTGAAATAAATGAAGTGAATATGGATCTCACTTGATCCGATCCGTTAAATATCTGAATCTGATTATAATATATATATATATATAAAAAATATGTCATATATGAATATTATATTATATATACACACACACACACAATATGTACATACACAACTATTATTGTATTTATATATGGATAAATTTTAGAAAAAGTAAATAAGGTGCGCTATAATTTAATTTATAGAATTAAACAAATTTCATTGGACAAAATGTTTTAAATAGAAATAAATAATTTATATAATATAATTAATTTTAATATTTTCGTTTCCTTTATTTTTATTCCAAAAATTTTGTGATTGAATAACTCATTATTACTTTTAATTATTCAAATTTTCTAGTATTAATTTCTATAAAATTTATTAATTACATACTTCATTTGTTAGATTTTTTTTTTGTTATTAACCTTTGTGTGGATAAATGGCATAATATTTAATATAATTTTTGTATTAAATTTACCTTTTTTTAGTTATACAAAAGTCTTGGTTAATATAAAAAAAAGAAATTTTAAAATAACATTTACACTTTTCCATCACATATTATGAAAATAACCATTAAAATAATGAGAATTTTCAAATATAATAGCCATTATATTTTTAAAAATATTTTTTATTTTAGTTTTAAGAATTTAATTATTCGGATTCGGATTATTTTTTTCAGATATCGGATTGTTTTTGGATTCGAATATAGTAATACTTATTATACATTCGATTGGATATCGAGTCGAATTCGAATATAATTATTATTATCGAATTCAGATTCGGATCTATCATGATCCGATCCGAATCCAAACCATTGATAACCCTAAATATATGTCTTTCATTCTTACATTAAAATTCATAGTTGCATTAATGTATCGATCAATATTTTAAGCTAACTTTGTTCAAATACAAATATTTAGGGAAAAATTAATTACATGTAATTACCAGAATTTTAATTTTAATATTTAATATTTTATTGTACTCTTGGCAGCAGCACAAGGAACCTATCTGGTTATCTTGAAGGATTCACTCCTGTAAAATCTCTTGGTAATGCATCTGCTTCTCATGTCTTAGTTCCTTCTCCCAGCTCCACTGCAGCTTCCCACATGCCTCGCTGCAGAATCTCCTCCACTGCCCATCTCTTAACACCGCAAAGGTTCTGCAGTTCCCCTCTCCACGGGGTTTGTGATGTCGAAAACTGAATCTTCTATGCGGAAAGATTCTAAATTTTTGTTTAATTTGTTTTTTATTTGATTTAGATTAATTTATATTTATTTAGAACTTCATTTAGATTTTAATTTGTTTTTTTATTTGATTTAGATTAAATTTATATATTTATTTAAATTTCATTTATATTAGATTTATTTTGATTTTGTTTGAAAAAAAGACAAGATTATCTTGAAGGAATCCTCACCTTGTGGAAATTTATCACTTAGAAATCTCACCACTCCAAAAACTCTTCATTTATAAATAAGAGAACTTTTCATTGAAGAAGAGGGGAAAATTGACAAAAATTTAAGAAAAATAATAGATTTTAAGAGAGAAATTTTTAAAAATTCAGTTGAGTGGAGAGAGGGAGAAACGGAAGGATTTTAACTTGAGATTAGGAAATTTTGCATCAGCTACCCTCCCAATTGCTTCTAGTACCACCATTGTCGCTGAAATCTTTCCGGTGTATCAATCAAGATTTCTCTATTGATAAATGAAGAAGACAGAAATTCTAGGTCTATTATAAATTTACGATTTTATCCATTATTTATTCTTTCATTCAATAAAATTCCTTTGAGTTTTGGATTTGTCTCACATGTTCTTCTATTGAGGCAAAAAATACTCTGAAAAAATACTTACTCCGAAAAAATACTGATCATTCTAGGAGCAATCCAAAAGAAGCATGCCCACCAATCTTGTTCATTATTATCGAGGTGACAACATTACCCAAGAAAAAAAAATTTTGGGGGTTTGTCAAGCTGGAAGGGAGAGTTATAAGCTCCAAAGCTAAAGATTTTGAAACAAGGCCCAATTATTCTAAAGTCGCCGGCAGCTGAACTTCAAGCTTTGTGATGAATGACTGTTAGCCGCCAGCATACTTCGAAAGGCGAACTGTACTGCCTTTTCACTATGACATGGTTTTAAGATTGAGAAGGCTTCTTCACTTTGCGGATAAAGAAATCTCCTGGTGTACACGAACCGCACATCAGGTGAAGCTACATCTCAAGGAAGTTGCTCTGGAAACTTGGGCTAAATCTCAAAGAAATATAAAACGAATTTCACGCAAACTGGGGGAGGACGGTTGGTGTGCAAGTCTTGACTTCTTGATCCAATCAATTTGTACAACTATAATCTATTACAATGACAAAATCTTGGTGCCCCCATAAAAGGGCAAATGTGAAGAAGTAGAAAATTCAAAGAGAGACTACAATTATAAAACCCACTCATGATTCACCAAATTGAAGTTGAAGGACATTCTAATGAAATTAATTCATCCTTTGGCTTCAACTTCACTTTAAAGTAACTTTATGAATTATTCTCATGCAATCTATGTACAATTAGATATATGTAAAACTTGCTAAGGTTCCTCTGTTGCAAAACAATCACGTTTTTGGTCCTCAAATCCTATGAATGGAACCTCTTTTGAAATTAGTTTACATAATTTCATGGAGTATTACCTACGGTGTTATTTGAGCTAAGACTATGTTACGCTTTCAAATCTTGCAAAGGATTACAAGAAAGTGACTTTGGGTACCCAGCTCTACCAATCAGATTACCTCTTGGCTGTTGCAAAGCTTGCTGTTTGGATATGAAGTCAAACCAATTTCTCTTCAGTCTTATCAGAGCACTATACAGTGATGTGGTAATAACTATTATTAATGTTTGGGCATCTCAAACTTCTTATGCATGATACGAAGTGTCTATTTGTCTATTTCTATACATGAAATAAGAATTCAAAACTCTAAAAACATTAATTATTTGTATATTAGATAAAATCCACTTAGGCATGATGTAGTTGTTCCAAAGAAATTGAACGAAGAGGTGTAGCCATGGCCTTCTTGGATGAGAGGAATTCTTGAGACACATTTAACATTGTTGGTCGAGATTTGGGTCTGGAATGCAAGCATGCAAAAGCCATTTTAGCAACAAGAACAAGTTTACCTACAACCACTGGATTAGTTGGAAGAGGAAGACGTGGATCCAAGATATCAATTAATTTCATGCTCAGAGTAGAAGGCGATGTCAACGACGAGAGGAGTTCTGTCGGATGCTTCCCCATGATAGTTTCCAATGCCACCACCCCAAAGCAATACGCATCACATTTTTCTGTCACAACCATAGTGTAGGCAAGTTCTGCAAAATAAAACCGTCAACTTGGCTTACTCTTTCAAAGAAATTAGTAGAACAATATAACAATGTTGATACCTGGGGCAACATAACCCAAAGTGCCTGCAACTACAGTTTGATTTGAGGAATCTGGATAGAGTAGTCTAGCTGTGCCGAAATCCCTGATGGCAGCTTCCAATTTTGAGTTGAGTAGAATGTTGTTGCTAGATATGTCTCGATGAACAATGGGTGGGGTGCAATCATGATGCAAGTAAGACAAAGCATGTGCCACTGCTTGAACAGTGTTTACCTGTTGAGTCCATCCTATTTCAATGGCTTCTTCATCAATTCTCAGGACGGAAAACAAGCTTCCTCTTTCCATGTACTCGTAGACCAAGAACATGTCTCTATTGTGCAAGCAGAAACCATATAGTTTCACTATATTTCTGTGTCGTATATTACTCAATATTTGCACCTCGTTCTTGAAACACTTGACAAAGGCTAACTCCTCTGTTTCAAGATGGTGAAGTTTTTTCAAAGCAATTACTTTGCCATTGGGCAATTGTGCTCTGTAGACACTACCATAGCCACCCGTTCCAATGCAATATCTGATGTCGAAGTCATTTGTAGCCTTGATGATGTCGTCATATCCAATTCTGTTGGTTGTGTCTTAAGGACCATTCCATAGTCGTTTTTGCTTAAGTTCTGGTCGGTTAGGTGGCTGAGTTTTGTTTTACTCAGTCAACAAAAAAGTAGGAGTTTGTTTTGTTCAGTTCCTATTTTGTTGCTGATTAGTGGGATAGTGGTCTTTGTCAGTTGCTAAGTTAGTGCATTTAGTTTTTTTTTTTTGGTTATTTTTTAAGGTTATGTACTCTTCTCGTATCAATCAATTTTTCAGTTGAAAAAAAACCAATGATTTTCAGTTCTATTCTTCTCTCGTTCTTCCTGCAAATTAAAAATACAAAACAATTTTTCTGCTCATCTGCAGAAAATTGAAACAACAGTGGTATCAGAGCCCTATTGATCTTAAGGGACCTGTGAGAGAGTGCTAATTCGAAGAAGAGCAAGAAAGATGGAACAAACTGGTGTACCTGCTGCTGCCTCATTCTCAACTATCACAGCTCCAATCTTTAATGGAAACAACTACCAGGCATGGGTAGTGAAGATGCAAGCTTTCATGGAGGGTGCAGACCTATGGGAAGCTGTGGAAGAGGACTATGAGATTACTGATCTACCCAACAACCCAACTATCAATCAAATCAGGTACCATAAAGAGAGGGTGACCCGAAAAGCAAAGGCAAAATCTTGCTTGTTTTCTGCTGTCTCCTCGACCATATTTACTAGAATCATGAAAAAGGATTTAGCACATGATATATGTAATTATTTGAAGGAAGAGTACCAAGGGGATGAGAGAGTGAAAGGGATGAAGGTGCTGAACTTGTTAAGGGAGTTTGAAAGGTAGCAGATGAAGGAGAGTGAATCTATGAAAGAGTTTGTTGATAGGCTAGTTGATATAGCCAATAAAATAAGGGTGCTAGGGACTGATATAGATGATAAAAGGCTAGTTCAGAAGATTTTGGTTGCAGTGCCTGAAAGGTTTGAAGCAACCATTGCTTCCCTTGAGAACACTAAGGACATTTCAGACATCAAGCTTGCTGAAGTCTTAAGTGCTCTACAGGCTCAGGAGCAAAGGAGGCTTATGAGGAATAATGAGCCTATCGAAAGTGCCCTGCAAGCCAAGTTGAAACTGAATATTGCAGAAAAGGGAAGAGGATGGAACCAGAATAGAAGACATGGTGAGGCCAGTCATAGTCACAGCCAGGGAGGTTCAAGTAGTGGTGGACATGACAGGAAGTGGAATGCAGTTCCATGTAAGGATTGTGGGAAGAAAAAACCACCCTCATTTCAAGTGTTGGAGGAGACCAGACGTGAAGTGTAGGAGGTGTCACAAGATGGGCCATGTTGAGGCCATTTGCAGGGAGAAGCATCAACAACAGTAAGCTGAAGGTCAAACTGCAGTAGCTAGTGAAGTGGAGCACCTGTTTGTTGCCTCTTGCTTCATCTCAAATGCATCTAGAGATGGATGGCTCGTGGACAGTGGTTGCACCAACCATATGACAGGAAATGAAGGGCTATTCAGCAATCTAGACAAATCTGTGAAGTCTAAAGTCAGGATTGGCAATGGAGAACGCATAGAAGTAGAAGGCAAAGGTGATGTAGTGCTTGAAGGTCCTGGTAGTGCTAAGCCTATCACAGAAGTTATGTTTGTGCCAAAGATAGATCAAAACCTGCTGAGTGTGGGTCAGTTAGTAGAGAAGGGATTGAAGGTTGTGTTTGAGAAGAGTGAGTGTGCCATAGAAGATGAGAATGGTCACATCTTTTTTAGGATTCCTATGAGGAACAAGTGTTTTACATTTGATCCAGTTGATGAGAATCATGAAGCCATGAAGAGTATACAAGATGTGGAGGAGTTATGGCATAAAAGACTGGGTCATTTCCATAGCAAGGGGCTGCAATACTTGCAGCAAAATGAAATGGCAGTGGGGCTACCTATGTTGCAGAAGGAAGTAACCGGCTGTAGAGCATGTTTGCAAGGCAAGCAAGTGAGGATTCCTTTCAAAAGGTCAAATTGGAGGGCCAGTGAGAAGCTGCAGCTAATTCACACTGATGTATGTGGTCCAATGCCAGAGGAATCGCTAAATGGCAGCAAATATCTCATCACTTTCATAGATGACTGCACTAGAATGTGCTGGGTGTACTTCATGAAGACCAAGGCTGAAGTTGATGAGATTTTTTTGAGGTTCAAAAGAGAAGTAGAGAAGGAGAGTGGCTGTAATATCAAGGCAGTTAGGTCAGACAATGGAGGAGAATACACCTCAGGCAGATTCAAGGCCATATGTGATAATGTAGGGATCAAGCACCAGCTCACTGTGCCATACACTCCACAGCAAAATGGAGTGAGTAAAAGGAAGAACAGAAGTATCATGGAGATGGCCAGATGCATGCTACACGAGAAAGAACTCCCTAAGAAGTTCTGGGCTGAGGCTGCCAACACTGTAGTCTTCCTTCTGAACAAACTGCCCACTAAAGCTCTCAACAAGCAGACACCATTTGAAGCATGGCATGGATACAAGCCTAAGGTGAGTAACCTGAAAGTGTTTGGTTGCATTAGCTATTCATTGGTTCCTTCTATTAAAAGAGATAAGCTTGATCAAAGAGGAGAAGCATGTATCTTTGTGGGGTATAGCTTGCAATCTAAGGCTTATAGAGTTTATCATCCTGCTAGCAACAAGGTTGTGGTGTGTAGATATGTGAGCTTTATGGAAGATAAGAAGTGGGACTGGTCTATGAAAAGAAGCAAGGCTGAAGAGAATGTAGTATATCAGGATGATGTGCCATTGCAGATTGAACCAAATGAAGTGGAGGTCGAGGATCTAGTTGATCATGCTCCTGCGAGGGGCACTAGGTCTCTTGCTGAGATCTATGAGAGATGCAATACAGTTATGCTTAAACCAGCTAGCTATGAGGAAGCAAGTGAAGATGTGAAATGGTGTACTACAATGGAAGAAGAAATCAGAATAATTGAGAAAAACCAGACATGGGATTTGGTTGAGAGGCCTAGAAGCAAAAAGGTGATTGGAGAAGTGGGTATTCAGTACAAAGTTGAATCCTGATGGCTCAGTGCATAAGCACAAAGCAAGACTTGTTGTCAAAGGCTATGCGCAAGTATGGGGGGTAGACTACTCTGAGACATTTGCTCTAGTGGCAAGGTTGGATACCATAAGGATGCTGCTGGCAATTGCTGCACAAAAGGGCTGGCAGGTATTTCAGCTGGATGTGAAGTCAGCATTCCCAAATGGATAGCTAGTAGAGGAGATATATGTTGAGCAGCCTGATGGCTTTGTAGTGAGAGGCAAGGAAGATCATGTGTATAAGTTAAGGAAAGCCTTGTATGGCTTGAAGCAGGCTCCAAGAGCTTGGTATAGTAAAATTGATAAGCATCTGCAAGAACTTGGGTTTAAAAGAAGTTTGAGTGAAGTGACTCTATATGTGAAGAAGGGTATGAAAGGTGTAGCGATTGTCTCTCTTTATGTTGATGATCTTTTGGTTACTGGTGACTGTGAGGAACAGATTGCAGAACTGAAGAAAGGGCTGATGAAGCAGTTTGAAATGACTGATCTTGGACTAATGTCCTTCTTTCTGGAATGGAGGTGTAGCAGAGGAAAGGTGAAGTATTCATCTGTCAAAGGAGATACCTAAGAGAGATCTTAAAGAGGTTTGAGATGGAGGAATGCAGAAGTGTGAGCACTCCTATGAATCTAAAGGAGAAGCTGCAGAAGACTGAAGGAGCTGAGCCTGTTGATGAAGGATTATACAGGAGTTTAGTCAGTTGCTTGATGTATCTAACTGCAACAAGACCAGATATCTTGTATGCAGTAGGTGTGTTTTCAAGATTCCTAAGTTGTGCTGGTGAAGACCACTTGGTAGCTGCAAAAAGGGTGATTAGATACCTGAAAGGCACTCAGTCATTTGGTGTCAAGTTCACTAAAGTGAACAATTGCAGGTTGCAGGGCTTTGCTGACAGTGATTGGGCTGGTTTAGCCGAGGATATGAGGAGTACAACTGGTTTTTGCTTTACTTTGGGATCTGGATGTTTCACCTGGAGCTCAAAGAAACAAGAAGTAGTTGCTCAGTCCACTGCAGAAGCTGAGTTTCTAGCAGCTACACCAGCAACTAATCATGCAATATGGCTGAGAAAGCTGATGCAGGATCTGGAGATGGGAGTTGAAGGACCAACTGAGATACTTGTGGACAACCAAGCTGCATTAGCCATATCTCAGAACCCTGTCTTTCATGGGAGAACCAAGCATTTCAAGATCAAGTTTTACTATCTGAGAGAAGTGCAACAAGAAGGTGAAGTGAAGCTACTCTATTGCAAGACAGAAGATCAAGTGGCTGATGTGTTTACTAAGCCACTGTAAGCAAGCAGGCTTGAGTTACTGAAGAAGAAGGTTGGAATGTGTTCTGCTCCTTAAGCCAAAGAGGAGTATGTTGGTTGTGTCTTAAGGACCATTCCACAGTCGTTTTTGCTTAAGTTCTGGTCGGTTAGGTGGCTGAGTTTTGTTTTACTCAGTCAACAAGAAAGTAGAAGTTTGTTTTGTTCAGTTCCTATTTTGTTGCTGATTAGTGGGGTAGTGGTCTTTGTCAGTTGCTAAGTTAGTGCATTTAGTTTTTTTTTTTTTGGTTATTTTTAAGGTTATGTACTCTTCTCGTATCAATCAATTTTTCAGTTGAAAAAAAACCAGTGATTTTCAGTTCTATTCTTCTCTCGTTCTTCCTGCAAATTAAAAATACAGGACAGTTTTTCTGCTCATATGCAGAAAATTGAAACAACAGTTTTTTCTGCTCATCTGCAGAAAATTGAAACAACAAATTCTTCCATCATAATTCCAAATCGAGCAGATATCCGCATTCTCAATTCTTCCTTCCATAGTCATTTTTCCTTTAGCTTAGTCCTGCTGAAGAATGTTGATGCAAGCAAGGCAACAAATACTATAACACTAAGCGAAATGATAAGAGCTAGCTTTATGGTCTTCTTTTGGTTACATTTTGTGTTCGGACACCCTTGACAAAGTGCGTCGGATGAAGAGTCCACGCATTTGTCTTTGAATTGACAGCATAAAAAACTAGGAACTTTGCCAGAGATTATTGTGTGAGAGAAATAAGGTTTCAATATAAGGAGATGCTAATCCACATGGTATTGCTCCAGTCAAATGATTGTAGCTGAGATCCACGTCAATCAAATTTTTAAGATTCTCTATATTTGAAGGAATTGGACCATGAATGTTGTTGTGACTGATGTTAAGATATCTCAAATTCCTTAAATGTCCTATTTCTCTAGCAATGGGACCACTAATGCTGTTGTTGCTAATATCCATATATGTCAAATCCTTCAAATCTCCTATTTCTTTGGGGATGGAACCATGAATATTGTTGTGATTGATGGCCATATATGTCAATTTGGTCAAATTACCAATAGATGGGGGAATGGAACAACAAAATCTATTAACCCCAAATTCATCACAACCAAATTCTTAAGGTTTCCAAGTTCTTGAGGGATTGAACCATAGAGATTATTAAACTGGAGAAGAAAATGGCTTAAGTTGGTCATATGACCCATCGATGAAGGGATTGGACAGCTGAAATTATTATTAATCATCTCCAGAACAACCAACTTTTTCAAATTCCCCAATTCACTAGGTATGCAACCAATGATGTTATTCCAAGGCATGCGAAAGTACTTCAGTTGGGTGAGATCTCCTAGTGTAAAAGGTAAACAGCCTTCAAGTAAATTAACAGAGAGATCAAGGCTGACAAGTTGGGTGAGATTTCCTAGTGTAAGAGGTAAACTGCCTTGAAGATAATTATAAGAGAGGTCAAGGCTGACAAGTTTTCTGAGATTTCCTAGTGCAAGAGGTAAACTGCCTTGAAGAAAATTATTAGAGAGGTCAAGGCTGACAAGTTTTCTGAGATTTCCTAGTGTATGAGGTAAAATACCATCAAAATTGCTATATGAGAGATCAAGGCTGACAAGTTGGCTGAGATTTCCCAAGGTATACGGTATCTTGCACCAGACGCCTATTATTAGAGAGATTGAGATAGCCAATTGTGTGAGGTCTAAATATTTAATTATATTAGATGACATGATTTAAGATAGATGTAGAGATTATGAGAGTGTAGATTATGATGATATAATATATTAGATAGTAGATTTAAGATTCAAGATTTGGACCAGAGAGAGAGATCAATTACAGTCTAAGATGTATCCATTAGAAAGAACCTCTTAACAACCACCTCAAGGTTTGGCGAGAGAGACCAATTTAAGCTGTCAGCCTAGAATATCACTATTCAGAAAATTAGGGTAGTTATTCAACAAGTCAGATGAAACATTTATTTGAGTTACGCTTCCTGCATGATTACAAGTGACGCCTTTTAACTTACAGTGATCTGCTGAAGAAGTGTTTCCCCACCAACCACTGTTAAGCAGAGCTTCGGCCTCTGTTGATGATGACGGTAGCATGGACTGGGCAAAGACAGTGAATGAATTCATAGCAAGAGCTAGAAATAGTGTCGATGCCATGAGCAGAAGAGGAGAAACAGAGGATAATGCCTTACTATTACTCATAATGTTACAACACAATCAACACTCATCCTCATTCCCCATATCAAAAGGCTTTTTATAGAGAAATTCTGGCGTGTGAAAAACTCTTTTCTCCTGGGTTTGCTAACTGCTGCCAAGAGTCTGGCGACTTTTGGTTTTGGGTACCCGTCCCCGTGAGAAATACGTTCCAAGCATAGATGTCTGGACAGAGACTTGAAAAGCAACGGTTTAGAGACTTCCTGCCCGCAAAGACTCGTCCTCGTAGAGTAATCACATTATTGAATTATCCATGATGGATTGGGTCTCCTGGTGTATAAGTATAATATATGTATTTGTCTTTCGTGGCAATATATTCCACCACTTACCAGCTGTTCTTTACACTACAAAGAGTCTAAAAATCCTTATTTGATAAAATTAAGAATTTTTTTTTGAAAGTTTTAAGTGTTGATATTGTTAAAATATTAAATTTATAATTTCTTAAGTTTAAGTTGTATATATAACTGAGCATTTTTAAATAAAAATTACTCATTTTTTATTTATATAAATATTCAATATTAAGTTATTTCACTTAACATTTACACAAATTTTAGTTAATTTTCTAAATTTAAAAGATTGGATACATATTGAAATTAAAAATTTGATAATTTTAATTTTAGTATTATTAATCAATTTTAGTTGAGAGATTTCCAAAGACTGTCTTAAATAAATCCAAAATTTCCTTTCTTTTGGAGGGGTCTTAAATCCTCTCTCTCTCTCTCTCTCTCTCGTTTATTGCATCAACATAGACCATGACTTTGGCAACGGTGGCATTTTGATTTAATTTCATTGCTGCAAGGATTTTATTGGAAGAACGTGTTTCAGGGACCAAGTCGATAATCCTAAATAGTCAGAGGACCATCAATATAATTTACCTTTACAAAAAAAAAAGAAAAAAGAAATAATCGTCGCAAGGACTAATTGATAGAACCAGAGAAACCAATTCACTTACAGCGTACCAGACTATAATTCCATCGTCACGATCGAGAGCCCAAGCGAAGCCACTTTTCTGGGCAGCCACAGCATCGTCACCCTGAGGGGGAGTTTGCAACGGTTCTGTAAAAGTTGTTCTGAACTTTCCGATGGTTGTTTGTAAAATTCTGGCGTGTAAAAAACTTTTCTCTTGACTTTGTTTACTAGTGCAGAGAGTCAAGCAACGTTTGCTCAACTCCAGGAGGGAAGACCAACAATGCACCCACCCAAGACTAGAAAAGCAACCCGTCTGGAGACTAACTAAAAACCAACTTTTTGAATCACCAAAAAGAATCGGCTGGAACACGTTCAGTTATTCATCCTCTAGCTTCCAGTTCTACCTTTTTCTTTTTTTAAAAAAAAAAATTAGTTGTATATAATAACTGAAAATTTTAAATAAAAAGTACTTATACATATATACATATATATTCAACATTAAGTTGTTTCACTTGGAACTTATACAAATTTTAGTTAATTTTTAAAATTTAAATAATTGGGGTACTAATTTTTATGATACATATTTACGAATTATTTTTGATTTTAATAGTCTAATTATATTATTAATCAATTTTAGTTGAGAGATTTCCAAAGACTGTCTTAAATAAATCCAAGATTTCCTTTTTTTTTTTTTTAACAGGGGTCCTAAGAAATCAAGAAAAAGCAAATCCCGTCAATTATTATTATTATTATTATTATTTTTTTATGAGTAGGTGAAGTTCTCATTCCATTTAATTCTACCTCTTTCTCACGAGTCACAGCAGTAGTCGTCATTCTGTTTTATTTTATATCACTGCATGGCAGATTAGTAGCTTTTATTTTAACTTGATTTATTTCCGGTAATTATTAGAAATCCATTATTCCTCAGAGCCTCAGACGGAAATGCTGATCCAATACTTACTTTGTATCCATGGCCCACGTAGGATTGGCGTTGATGGTTCAGAGACGAAGGCCCGATCTGGCCATCAAAAGACACTTCCAATCCTTCATTTTTTTATTATTTTTTTTGGTAACGGAAAGGGTCCAAGCCCAGAGTAAAAGGACTACAAAGAGTTGAGGGTGAAAGTCACACAGGTTTCCTGACTTCTTCCCAGCCCTATCCAAAGGCCAATCTTGGCCAGCTGATCAGTGCACTGATTGTTTCTTTTGGTGATATGACTCATTTCAATGTGTCATTACTTTTATGACATGAGAATGATCCTAAAAGCAATGGAAGCAACCTTTGGTTTTTCTCTCCTTTTACTTGTGATTATATCTATTATCTCTTTAGGGTCTATCTCTATTTGAATCATTCTACAACTCAAATTCCAAGCAAGTTGAAGACTCCCCCATATGCCCAATGCCTTAGCCACCAGAATCGATGCCTCATCAATACCGATGCCTCATCAATATTCCTAGAGATACCCCTGACCTAATCACCCTCCCAATTTCTTAGAGGGCTCCCACAATTAGCCTTCTTCTTGATGGAGCTATAGGCTCCATCCATGCTAAGCTTTGGCCATCCCTCTTTCAGCAGGCTCCACGTCTTGGGATTCTCTCAAGCTTTGGGACTTGAGCTTCCTTTCGAAATCTATGGCTGCTGTCAACTATCCACTAGGTGATGACCCTCCTCCGATCACTCAGTTTGTGGAAATTTCCCATCAAAAGCCCTTATGTTCCTCCAATCCCGTAGAAGCCAAGTTATATAGCCCACCTACTTGCTCCTTTTTGATTAGAAAAAGCCACACCGATCCCTTTAATGTTAGAGACCATTCGCTCCTAAGCCTTAAATATAAAGAAACTGGCTCTTAACCTTAGGAGAACAAAGCCCCTCCACATCTATATTACCGCAAGGCAATCTGTAAGAACGTGGAAGATGGATTCTTGCACATGACCAAATCCCAGAGCTAGGGATGTAGGAGAAATGGCTTGGAATCTAGAAACAACTACAGGTTTGAAAAAAGATCAAAGCTTATCCCAGTTCCACTCTCCATTGGCTACTACCATCTCATACACTCTACAATCCATCATCTATTGGAAGGAATCAAGCTTAAAGTCTTTAATCACATTTATGTCTAACCAACTGTCCTTTCAGAAGTTGATTGTCCTTCCATTGCCAACACTCTACAACTTGAGACTCGAAAGAGTACTCCATCATTGAACTATATCTCTTTGGAGCCTGGAGTTTGAGGGCTTTAGGGATATGGAAGTCAACCAATCACACTCTCTTGTACTTGCCCCTAAGCACTTCTATCCAAGGGGTTGAGCCCCCTTGTTTGATTTTTCAACTGAGCTTCATGATCCAAGCCTTGTTCATCCCTTGCATACTTTTCATACCAATACCTCCATAAACCTTGGGAGTGCACATGGTACTCCATGATAGTGGGTGAGGCTTTCTAACATGATCCTCATGTCTTTAGACAAAATTTCTTGTAACTTCTCTAGCTCTTTGATGATAGACTTTGGTAATCTACACACTATCATAGAGTAGGCAGGAATCGACCCAACCACCAATTTGGCTAGGTTCACTCTGCTTGCCAAGGAAAGTTGATTAGCCTTCCAACCTGAAAGTCTCCTCTTGGCCTTATTTGTCACATAGTTGAAAGCTTTCTTCCCAGTCCTACCACAGAATATTGAGTCCATAAGTATGTACCCAAATCCCTTAACTCAGTAAAACCAGAAGGCTCCACAATCAGCTTTCGCATGTCTTTACACATATTTCTAGAGAAAACTATGCTAGACTTCCCTTTGTTTATCTGTTGGCTGGAGGCCCTTTAAAAACTATCCAGGCACCAATGTACACAATCAATCTGCTAGATATCTACTTGGGCAAACAAAATAAGATCATTCGCAAAAAAAAAAAAGAAAGGAAATGGGACACATTTAGACCCCTATAACCTGCTAGCATTGGCTGCCAGTTGCCCACCTAGATCTCTGCTTTTATCAGTTGGGACAGCTTTTCCATGCACATCATAAAAATATAAGGTGAAATTAGATCCCCCTACCTCTGGCCTTTCCTTGGTTTAAAGCTTTTTATGACTCCTCCATTCTAAAGGATGCTCATAGTTGCCAACATGATGCACCACCTAATAACATCCACTAGATTCTGACCCATCGTAGCTTCTTTTAAGATCTCTCTAATGAAACTCTACTGCATTCTATCATAGGCCTTCTCAAAATCAATTTTAATAGCAAGGAAACCTTTCCTCCCTTTAATTTCCCCATCAAATGGAAAAGCTTCTTGGCTATGATAATGTTGTGCTAGATATGTTTGGTCGGAATGAAGCTCTCCTAATAGGGCGAGATAAGCTTAGGGAGGACTGTCTAGATCATATTGGCTAGGACTTTAGTATTCTCTTTGTACCAAACATTACATAAAAAGAAAAGTTTGAATTGGGATAGCAATTCTGGTCTATTCATCTTGGGGATAAGCACCACAAAAGTGTCATTGATTAGACTAACCTTATCATGACCCTCCAGAATTGTTCTCACAAAACTTGTGATCTAATCATTC